CATCTGGGAGTTTGATATTTCAAGAATATTATCACTATTTCCCAGAGAGTACTTAACAGACCTTTATCATATTGCAATGGTCAGCTCCATTCTTTCACATTAAGTACTGTACTAGTAAATATATGAAATGACAAACTCGCTTTCAAGGTTGTCTTTTAATTACAGCAGTATGAAGTTAAGATTAAAAGTTACGTCGAGGTGCATTTACTGTTTACATTACTCGATCAAACAGATAAAAGAAAAGATCAAACTGACATAGAAAAGATGGTACGACAGGTTGGTCATACAATCTTTTGTATTTGTCCAATGTAACACTGCTATCTTCATATCATCATCTGTATTTATCCATTATCAGACTACTGTCTTCATGCCATCGTCTGTATTTGTTCATTTTCATACTTTATCTTCATGTCATCGTCTGTATTTATCCATTATCAGACTACTGTCTTCATGCCATCGTCTGTATTTGTTCATTGTCATACTTTATCTTCATGCCATCTTCTGTATTTGTTCATTTTCATACTTTATCTTCATGCCATCGTCTGTATTTGTCCATTGTAACAATAATGTCTTTATGTCATCTTCTGTATTTGTCAAATATCACACTGCTATCTTGATTCATACCATCTTTTGTATTTATCCATTGTGTCACTGCTATCTTCATTCCATCTTTTGTATTTATCCATTGTGTCACTGCTATCTTCATACCATCTTTTGTATTTATCCATTGTGTTACTGCTGTCCTCATACAAATTTCAAACTTTGTCCATTATTACATTATGTTCTATTTTACACATTTATTTTAACTGGCAGTGAGTTTCTCCATCGATTTTAGTCAAAAATGTATGTTACTTATAACTTTTGTTTTAATTCTGTTGGGTATTAATTCTAACAATATACAATGTGTTATAGTTTGTTTTTACTTAAGTATCCAGAATGTCACGGGCATACAGTTGACTGATTTTGTTGTCTTTGATTTCTTGGTGTCTCCAATTCGTCTTTAAAAGTGTGTTTGATGTTGGGTAATTGAGAATTAAGATATACCTGGTATTTCATTGTGATTTGTTGTGGTGTCACTGTACATCTGAACTTAACTGTTGATAAAGGACAAGTTACCTGATCTCTCTTCTATTAAAGTGTCATAATTAGATTATAATTAAGGAAAGGAAATGTGTATATTTATATATAGTAAAACCTGTCTCTGAATGACATACAGTGGACTTGTTAGTATTAATCAGTCATTGGAAGGCTGATGATTTACAACACAGGTGTAGAACATGAAGTTATGTACCTACAACAAACACTGTCACCACCATATAACTACCACATACAAAACACTGTCACCACCATATAACTACCACATACAAAACACTGTCACCGCCATATAACTACCACATACAAAACACTCACCACCACATAACTGCCACATACAAAACACTGTCACCACCATATAACTACCACATACAAAACACTGTCACCACCATATAACTACCACATACAAAACACTGTCACCACCATATAACTACCACATACAAAACACTGTCACCACCATATAACTACCACATACAAAACACTGTCACCACCATATAACTACCACATACAAAACACTGTCACCACCATATAACTACCACATACAAAACACTGTCACCACCATATAACTACCACATACAAAACACTGTCACCACCATATAACTACCACATACCAAACACTGTCACCACCATATAACTACCACATACAAAACACTGTCACCACCATATAACTACCACATACAAAACACTGTCACCACCATATAACTACCACATACAAAACACTGTCACCACCATATAACTACCACATACAAAACACTGTCACCACCATATAACTACCACATACAAAACACTGTCACCACCATATAACTACCACATACAAAACACTGTCACCACCATATAACTACCACATACAAAACACTGTCACCACCATATAACTACCACATACAAAACACTGTCACCACCATATAACTACCACATACAAAACACTGTCACCACCATATAACTACCACATACAAAACACTGTCACCACCATATAACTACCACATACAAAACACTGTCACCACCATATAACTACCACATACAAAACACTGTCACCACCATATAACTACCACATACAAAACACTGTCACCACCATATAACTACCACATACAAAACACTGTCACCACCATATAACTACCACATACAAAACACTGTCACCACCATATAACTACCACATACAAAACACTGTCACCACCATATAACTACCACATACAAAACACTGTCACCACCATATAACTACCACATACAAAACACTGTCACCACCATATAACTACCACATACAAAACACTGTCACCACCATATAACTACCACATACAAAACACTGTCACCACCATATAACTACCACATACAAAACACTGTCACCACCATATAACTACCACATACAAAACACTGTCACCACCATATAACTACCACATACAAAACACTGTCACCACCATATAACTACCACATACAAAACACTGTCACCACCATATAACTACCACATACAAAACACTGTCACCACCATATAACTACCACATACAAAACACTGTCACCACCATATAACTACCACATACAAAACACTGTCACCACCATATAACTACCACATACAAAACACTGTCACCACCATATAACTACCACATACAAAACACTGTCACCACCATATAACTACCACATACAAAACACTGTCACCACCATATAACTACCACATACAAAACACTGTCACCACCATATAACTACCACATACAAAACACTGTCACCACCATATAACTACCACATACAAAACACTGTCACCACCATATAACTACCACATACAAAACACTGTCACCACCATATAACTACCACATACAAAACACTGTCACCACCATATAACTACCACATACAAAACACTGTCACCACCATATAACTACCACATACAAAACACTGTCACCACCATATAACTACCACATACAAAACACTGTCACCACCATATAACTACCACATACAAAACACTGTCACCACCATATAACTACCACATACAAAACACTGTCACCACCATATAACTACCACATACAAAACACTGTCACCACCATATAACTACCACATACAAAACACTGTCACCACCATATAACTACCACATACAAAACACTGTCACCACCATATAACTACCACATACAAAACACTGTCACCACCATATAACTACCACATACAAAACACTGTCACCACCATATAACTACCACATACAAAACACTGTCACCACCATATAACTACCACATACAAAACACTGTCACCACCATATAACTACCACATACAAAACACTGTCACCACCATATAACTACCACATACAAAACACTGTCACCACCATATAACTACCACATACAAAACACTGTCACCACCATATAACTACCACATACAAAACACTGTCACCACCATATAACTACCACATACAAAACACTGTCACCACCATATAACTACCACATACAAAACACTGTCACCACCATATAACTACCACATACAAAACACTGTCACCACCATATAACTACCACATACAAAACACTGTCACCACCATATAACTACCACATACAAAACACTGTCACCACCATATAACTACCACATACAAAACACTGTCACCACCATATAACTACCACATACAAAACACTGTCACCACCATATAACTACCACATACAAAACACTGTCACCACCATATAACTACCACATACAAAACACTGTCACCACCATATAACTACCACATACAAAACACTGTCACCACCATATAACTACCACATACAAAACACTGTCACCACCATATAACTACCACATACAAAACACTGTCACCACCATATAACTACCACATACAAAACACTGTCACCACCATATAACTACCACATACAAAACACTGTCACCACCATATAACTACCACATACAAAACACTGTCACCACCATATAACTACCACATACAAAACACTGTCACCACCATATAACTACCACATACAAAACACTGTCACCACCATATAACTACCACATACAAAACACTGTCACCACCATATAACTACCACATATCAAACACTGTCACCACCATATAACTACCACATACAAAACACTGTCACCACCATATAACTACCACATACAAAACATTGTCACCACCATAACAACCCTAGGTTCTAACTACATATGATCTTCACTAATAAAGTTGTGTTGTTGTGTTGTTGTGTTGTACTAACATGACTGGTTCTAATAGAGCTGTGTTATATTGTACTAACATGACTGGTTCTAATAGAGTTGTGTTATGTTGTACTAACTTGACTGGTTCTAATAAAGTACTAACTTGACTGGTTCTAATAAAGCTGTGTTATATTGTACTAACTTGGCTGGTTCTAATAGAGTTGTGTTATGTTGTACTAACCTGACTGGTTCTAATAGAGTACTAACTTGACTGGTTCTAATAGAGCTGTGTTATATTGTACTAAATTGACTGGTTCTAATAGAGTTGTGTTATGTTGTACTAACTTGACTGTTTCTAATAGATCTTTGTTGTACTAACTTGACTGGTTCTAATAGAGTTTTTTTATGTTGTACTAACTTGACTGGTTCTAATAGAGCTGTGTTATATTGTACTAACTTGACTGGTTCTAATAGATCTTTGTTGTACTAACTTGACTGATTCTAATAGAGTTGTGTTATGTTGTACTAACTTGACTGGTTCTAATAGATCTTTGTTGTACTAACTTGACTGGTTCTAATAGAGTTGTGTTATGTTGTACTAACCTGACTGGTTCTAATAGAGTTGTATTATGTTGTACTAACTTGACTGGTTCTAATAGAGCTGTGTTATATTGTACTAACTTGACTGGTTCTAATAGAGTTGTATTATGTTGTACTAACTTGACTGGTCCTAATAGAGTTGTGTTATGTTGTACTAACTTGACTGTTTCTAATAGACCTTTGTTGCTATGGCTTTTTGTGTTTTGTGCATGCAGTGTACTGGGCATGAATTTGTTTGGTGGCAAGTTTTGTTGGCGTGACGAGGGAATCCCCTGCACTTGTGCTGATGAGTCTAACCCTGCCCTACGCTGCGTTTGTGATCGAGCCAATTTTAACAGCTTGTTGTGGTCCTTGGTGACTGTTTTTCAGGTAAACACTAACATAAGGCCACATCAAAGTATTTATCATAAAATCATGCATAAATACCATAGCCTTCCCAATAGGTGTCCTCGTCCTTCCTAACATCTCAGGGTTATCAGGGTATGTGTTAACAAAACCTTCTAGAAAGATCGATTCCCTGCTTTTGTTATCACATCTTGCATTTTCTCCTTTTAGTAACTTTTGCTCTGACCCAAATTTTCTGAATGCTGATTTCTTGTAATATTGTGCATAATTTGATAAACACATAATATGAATATTGGAATATTTAAAAGGTTGAATAAGAAAACCTGGTCCTTTGGCTATTTTATTGATAAAAGATGATCAATAACTCAGAATGTCAATAGAATATGAATACTTATCAATTTTTAAAAAGATTACTGAATTTGATGTTTTCTGCTTTGTAAGGGTATATATGCTGTGGTGTAATAAGAGGCTAATATTGGAAGGAATTTGGTATATGATTCTAACTAAACATTTTCAGACATTACTTGATGTGGCCTTGACTCTGACTAAACTGATCCACAGGAACTGTGGAACCTATTTATTGACCCACATTTACTAATCCACTTTAATTCAGGTTTTTAGTGTTGACCCATATATTAATCAATGTTGACCCATAAACTAATCAAAGTAGTGGTGAAGTATATTATCTGTTATAAAATTATACTCATAAGTTAGTATTATCCTAATCAGTCAATGATTACTGTACATGTGATAGCATTATCCTAATCAGTCAATGATTACTGTACATGTGATAGCATTACACTAATCAGTCAGTGTTTACCTGTGATAGCATTACGCTAATCAGTCAGTGTTTACGCGTGATAGCATTACACTAATAAGTCAGTGTTAACTGGTAATAGAATTACACTAATCAGTCAGTATTTACCTGTGATAGCATTACCCTAATCAGTCAGTGTTTACGCGTGATAGCATTACACTAATCAGGCAGTGTTTACCTTTGATAGCATTACCCTAATCAGTCAGTGTTTACCTGTGATAGCATTACACTAATCAGTCAGTGTTAACTGGTAATAGCATTACACTAATCAGTCAGTGTTTACCTGTGATAGCATTACACTTATCAGTCAGTGTGTACCTGAGGTATAACTATTCAGTGTTATACTTATCT